TATGCTGTATTAATTTTCTTAAGTAGTGTGTTAAATACAGTTTTAGGTTATAACATAATGTTAAAATAGAACATATTTTAAAAAAGATACTTTTTTTAAAGAAAGAAATGAGGTACTCACACCGAGATAGCAGCCACAGGACACCTAAATCTTTCAGAGAAAGATAATTTATTGCTCCATTATCAGAAGAAACTAACTTCTTCCTGCCTCACTCAGCCCTGAAGCTGTCAGGATTCAGAGGAAGAAGTTGACACTGACCAGACAGAATCCTTTGCTTGAATGGAATTTATGCATCACATGTGAGATATATGAATGTGCAACAGGCTGTTGTTTTTAAAGGTTAATACTCTGTTAACATGTGTCCTTTTTTGGGCTTATTTTGCCCAGAAAAAGGTACCCGGACTGTCTGTAACTCTCTGTTTTTATTGTCTCAAATTATCCTAATCCAAATTGTCCAAATTTATATTACTCTAATTTTATTACTATTTTTATAACTATTTTATTACTGTTAAACTTTCAAAATTTTTAAAACAAGTGATTGGCGTTTTTCACACTGAATAATTCATTGGGAGTTTTCTGTGACATGTTGGGAGAGGAGGTTGGATTACTCCAAGAGAAATCCTAGGATCCTGCACAGCACCTGCTCCAGCTGATTGTGCTTAGCCCTGGCTGATAGATGTTGTCAGATCTGTTTAACACTGTTAAATTCAATAGTTTCAGCTGCCTTTTTAATACTCTATTTAATTTATATTTATATGTAATACTCCAGGTGGTTTTGTTCAAGAGCAGAGTTTGGTAATAATTTCTCTCCCCTTCTATCCTTGGTGTTTTCTGATCTTCCACAGGCAGGTGTTGTTCCTAAGCAAACCTTACACACTTCCTTGGAATTTTGGGCTTCCTGGAGCTGATTGGAGTGAAAGCAGAGCTCCCTGGAGCTCCCACATCCTTCCTGCTTCCTTTCCTCCTCACAAAACCTGCATTTATTATTTGTCACCTCTGAAACCAGAGGTTGAACAGCAGCCCAAGCATTCCAGGCATGGGACCTTGGACACTTCCAGGGATCCAGGGGCAGCCACAGCTTCTCTGGGAAATCTTTTCCATGGCCTGCCCACCCTCCCAGGGAACAATTCCTTCCCAAAATCCCATCTAACCCCACCCTCTGTCAGTGAGAGGTTTTCTCTGCATTTATCCTCAGGCAAATTAATATGACTCCTTCTCTACTGCCAAAACCAACCTGGGGAATAATGGGAAAGGACCTCCTGAAAAAATGGGATAACAGGATGGAGTCATCCTTGTCCCAGTGCTGCTGTTAGAAACTTGGAGCAGAAACATCTGGGAATAAAGGAATTTATTCCTGCTCCAGCCCTTGGATGCATCCTCTGCATCACTCCATGCTGTATTCTGGAGTCTGCTGGAGCCTCCCTCATCATTCCCAGAGTGTTTGGTGGGATAAAGCAATTCCATGTGCTCCTCCTGCTCAGTTAAATGTGCTTTTACCATAATTTCATACCTGAAACAGGAGGCACCAGAAACAGCTGGAAACGGCTGTGGTTTCCCCTGTGGTCAATTCCACAATATTCCCTGCAAAATCCAGCCCAGGTGGGAGGAGGGTTAAATAGGAGCGGAAATTTGATGTTTTGCCTGCCAAAAAAAGCCCTGAGGACACAAAGTTGTGGCTGTTCCTTTGCCAGAGGGCAGATAAACAAACAATTTTTGGGATAAAATAGCCCAAAAGCCAAAGTGAGCTGGTGAATTCCAGCTTGGGGTGCAAAGGAATAATAATTTTCAGGTCTGGTAACGCTGCCAGCAGCACTTGGGCTGGGGATGATTCACCTGATGATCCTTGAAAAAAGTTGGGAAGGCTTCAATGAGCACATCAAAAACTTGGGAAGCTGCTTAAAGAATGCAGGGCCGTGTGAATATTGCATTTCATTTGGGAAATAAAGCCCCTGCTGGCTGCTCTGATGTCAAGGATTTTTTAATATTCAGAACTTCCACACCTATCTAACATAAAATATATAATATTAAATAATATCAACAGCATTTAAATTGCTCTTTTGTAAATATTAAACTTAAAACTTTTCATTTCCTCCCCTTATTTCACTGCCTCTGCATGTGAGGAAGGGAAAAAGGAGGTGATGATCTTCAGCCACTGGGTCCATTGGAAGAAATTAAGCAAAATAGCCCAAACTTGGTTCTTGGGCAGGCTGGAGGTGTGATGGAAGTATTGAAATTAAAGAGAATTAAGACCTGCAGGGGTTCAAAAATTAATAATCCCTGTTATTTAGAGATTTAGGGCTGTTCAACCTACAGAAGGGAAGGCTCTGGACATGGGTGAACCACCTGGGACACATCCCAGGCTTTGGGCTGGACTCTGCACCCCTCTGTTCACCCCTTTCGGTCGGGGTGTATTTTCATGTGCTCCCAAGTAAATAAATAGGAAGAAAAGCTTGGAAATAGTTCTTTTTGGAAAAGAAGTTCAAAAGTGTTTACTGAGTTTTTAAATTAGATTTAATCAGGCGTGTTGATGGAGAGAGGAGTTTGATTCATTTACTGAAATGATTGATTTAAGTAATTTCAGTCAGCTTCAATCAGAAATTAGGGCTTAACCATGGCAAGCATTTCAAATTTAAACTTTAACGATAACATCTCCACCCCCATCCAGTTCTGACCCAGGAAATCCTGATACTTCTGCTTCAGCTCTTCCCTGTTTCTCCAGCAGCATTTCCTTTGTCCTCAGCCCTTGAACTACAGCAGAAATGTGTCAGAAATCATAATTCCCATCAATCTGTTGTTTCAAATATTCTGCAGTGCCCAATCCCCTCACCTGGAGAGCTCCTACAACTGCAGCCATATAAAAATCACAGGTTTGGGCATCCCTGTCCTAACTCCTGGGGGTTTTTGGATGAGCAGTGATTTTGTTGTGTGCTGTTCCAAAGATCAAACAGAGCCCCAGATATGGCATTTTGCTGGGAAAAAAAGTGTAAAACACACAATAAACTTAAATTGAAGCATCACAGCTCTGACTGCAGGATGATGTTTCACATAATTGAGAAAGGAATCTCCTGTTGCAGACATATCTGCTTCCATCATTTTGTTTCTCATATTCCTTTCTGGTTGTGCCTCCTACACTCAGGGAATGGGATATTTTATATTTTACTTCTAGCATCCAGCACAGGCTCTGTGGAGAGACATGGGCCAGAAAATCTCTGCTTGTGTCTCTTCTAATTCCCAGTGAATGTTGAATTTGCAGGACATATCCCAAAAATATATTTTTCATCTCAAGGCAGTACTAAATAGATAACTTTGAAGTCTTTAGAGGCATCAAATCCCACAGAATTCCTCCTGTTTCTTCAGCCTTGACAGGGGGTTTCAGCACAACAGGAGATGCTGCTCATGCTGATTATAAGGGTCCTGCTGACATTTAAATCTCTACCCTGATTAGCCTTTAGTAAAGCAGCTGTTTGTCATTAAGGCAGGAGAAACGAGAATATAAGGTGTGATTAGTGGCTTAATTAATACAGGAGTGCATTGTCTGCACTTCAGCAGCTTCCTAGGCTGCATGGACCTTGGGGGGGGCTGGTATGTGAATTTATTAAAATATATAGGATATAACATATAGGATGTGTGTGTGTATCTCTCTATGTGTGTGTATATATATATATATAAAAGAGATGTATATTCTTTATATCAGATATGCTAAATCCATAGAATTTTATTAAAACATATAGGATAGAACAGTGTGTTATGACTGTAAAATGAGAGAGTAGCACCTCTCCACAATTCTTGACAGGGGATGTTGGGCTGTGATGCTAGGGAACAGGGACAGGAGAAGGGGAAAGGGCCTCAGGCTGGGCCAGGGGAGGCTCAGCTTGGACAGCAGCAGGAATTTCTGCATGGAAAGGGTGCTCAGGCCTTGGCAGGGGCTGCCCAGGGAGCTTTGCAGTGCCCATCCCTGGAGGTGTTGCTTTGATTATGAAACTAAAAATGCTTCTCCAAGAGAAGTTCTTGTGTTGAAAACTAGAAGAGGCTTTAAGGGCTGTTCTGCCTTGCAATTCAAGAAGAAATCTTTGAGTTTGCCCTTTGAAGGTTTTCTATCTTGCAAATGTAGTTAGGGATAAAAACTCATTAAGGAGGAGGTTTGGGAACTGAAGGACCAGCAAATCAAAGCCCATTCATTTCATGGATTTTATCAGTGAGAGTATTTGTAAATATTTTGCTGAAAGTGTCTTTGCTTCGTGCTGTTTCCTGCGGTCAAATGGAGGTATGGGGATGGAATTTATTGCATTTACTGTCTGAAAAAAAAAGAAATTAATACAAGTGTAGAGTATCGGGAATAGTTTTAATCAAACTGTTTCTCTAAGGAGGAGCCCTGTTATAAACTGTATATACTCAAGCATTTATGGTTAATGCAAGTGTCTAAGCCATAGCTGAGATGAAAACTGGACCTTTTGGAGTTCTGCTCTCTGTGCACTGGTTTTCCCTTTTTTTACCATGGAATTTTGCCTCTGAAGAATAAGCTGTGGTGTTTGAGTGACTCAGAAGTCTTGGAATTCAGCAGGAACCCAAAAAGTAAAGCTGGAAAAGAACGGCTCAAAACCTCCCCGGCTGGGCGGTGGTTCATGATCAGGGTATAACAGGGCTTAGGTCTGGAAATTTCCTTGGGAAACCCTCAATGGATTTTGCTGGATAATGCACTAAAAGTGTCTCAAAACCACTCAGGTTGTGATGAAGTGACCCCAAATCCTTGCTCACCTTTGGCTTTCCTGGATTTCTCCCCCTCTCACATCTCTGTCAGGCCATCCTTCCAAAACCCCTCATCCACCTCCTACCCCAGGACCTTCCCAATCCTCTCAGTGCATGCTTTCATGTCCAGCAGCTGAATTTCCTGGTTTGCAGTGTTCCCCATTCCCAATGACGTTGTTTTCCTCTGCAGTTCACAACTGGAATTTGGACATTTTTTGCTAATCACATTTTCCCCTTGTCTTGTTTTTTTCCAGCTCTCGTAAATGTGAAACTTTGGGCTATTGATCGGCAATGTTTTCAAACAATAATGATGAGGACTGGCCTCATCAAGCATACTGAGTATATGGAATTTTTGAAAAGGTATGGCACTTGTTTATTTATCCAAAAACCCCATGAAACTGCCGTCCTCTCTTGCCTTTTTTTTTTCCTGTGAGTGCAGTATTTGATTTATTTCCTTCTCATCTCTTTCAGTTTTAATGATTATTATTATTATTATGATTTTTATTTGCTGTTTGCCCATCCTCCTGAGAGGAGGGGGAGCTTTGCTGTGGGGGAGTTTCGTTCCTGTTGTGACTTATTCATTGGCAAAGAGTCCCAGAGCTGAGGGGTGAGAGACAAGCTTTCATATGAGTCATTCAAAGTGTGTCAGAAAAGACACATTTTGACAAAAAAAACCACCCTTTCAAGGGAAAAATCAGGGGTTTAAACTGGTTCAGATCCATCCGGGGTGTGTTCTTGTGCTTCTGGAAGTAAAATGGAAGTTTTTAGGAAAGCAGATCTTTAGATTACTGTAAAATTCAGGTTGGATGAGTAACATAAAGAAAAAACCAAATCTTTCACTCATTCAATTTGATTTTCCCAAAAGTTCCTTCAGAGATTTAAGGCTTGGAGAGGATCAATAATGAATAATCCTGGTTATTGGAGAGCTGGGGGTGCTCAGCTGGAGAGGAGAAGGCTCCAGGGAGAGCTCAGAGCCCCTGCCAGGGCCTGAAGGGCTCCAGGAGAGCTGGAGAGGGACTGGGGACAAGAGATGGAGGGACAGGACACAGGGAATGGCTTACACTGCCAGAGGGCGGGGATGGATGGGGTATTGGGAAGAAATTGTTCCCTGGGAGGGTGGGCAGGCCCTGGCACAGGGTGCCCAGAGCAGCTGTGGCTGCCCCTGGATCCCTGGCAGTGCCCAAGACCAGGCTGGACAGGGCTTGGAGCAGCCTGGGACAGTGGAAGGTGTCCCTGCCCATGGCAGGGGTGGCACTGGGTGGGCTTTAAAGTTCCTTCCCACTCCAACATTCCCTGATTTCATGAAATCCAGTGCCACAGTGTAAGGAGCAGATTGTGTTTCATGTCACCAAAATGATCCCACAGGGAAGGAAATGTCAGGAATTGTAGGGAAGGGGAGGCCCAGGCCACTGTGAGGCTTTCAGCCATCCCAGTGCTACTCAGACATTACTAAGCTGTTACTACAGCAGGCTTGTCCCAGTTAGTATTGGAGAGGAAAGGGACTCAGGGAGAAGAAAAGAATAATAATGCTAATAATAATAGTAATAAAAAATAAAAATGTTAAGCATGCCATTATTAATAAAATATTAATTTATACAAGTAGATATAATTTAAAATATATATTATATACCATGTGTAATAGAAATGTATATATATATATAAAATACAACATCTACGTGATGTAAAGGATCTTTTAGGTTGGAAAAACCCTCTAAGATCATTGAGTCCAGCCATTCCCCCAGCACTGCCAAGGCCACCACTGACCACGTGCCCAAGAGCCACATGCACATGGCTTTAAATCCCTGCAGTGATGGGGACTCCACCACCCCCTGGGCAGCTGTGCCAGTGCCTGGCCACCCTTTCCAGGAGGAATTTTCCCCAATGTCCCATCTAAACCTCCCCTGGGCCAGGCTGAGGCTGTTCCTCTTGCCCTTGTTCAGGTACTTGGTGAGGTCAGAAATTCCCTGGAGAGGGACAGCATTTCCATGGGAAAGTCCCACAGCTGGAAAAGCATGGCTGAGTTTTTTCCAGGTGTCTCTGTTGATGATTATCAACAACCCAGCTCAGGAGAGAAAACAGAACCTGCTGCTGTGTTTTAGGGGTTTAAAACCCATCCATCCCAGCATTAAAAAGCTTTTCAACAAACCTGGGAATGGGTGTGTGATCAGCTCTGGGGTGGGAGCTGCTGGAGCAGGCCCCACGCTCACATTAGGCTTTGAAGCTCTGAGCTTTAATAGAGATTTTCCAGTAGATTGTCCAGATTAATCTGGATTCAGGTCCTGCAGAGCCTGCCCAGCTTTAATTTTAAAGCAAATAATGTGAGGAGGAAACCAAGGAGTGTTTCCTCACTCTGTGGCTCTGCTGCTTGAACACAACCTGTGGCTCATTAGAAAGGCCTAAGGCAAGCAAATAAATATTTATTTTATAAAATCTTACTGTTCCAATTTAGGAAAAGTATTTCTTTCATTTGGAGCACTTGTAGGAAGGTCCTTAAAAAATGTTACTTCCCATTGGAAGCTAGGGCTCTGGGCATCTTTAGCTGTCTCAAGCTCAGTTTAAATGTTGTACGGAACATGAAAGACTCATTTTTAGATCCCATTTGCTACATTAAATGCTCATGTTTAGGTCCCATTTGCTACATTAAATGCTTATTTTAAAGAAGCTTTCCTTCAAAATGTTTCTAATGAAAACCAGGGTAAATCCTGAAACGGAGCTTGTTGATTGTTGACTTTATTCTTTGCTTTTGGGGGGTTTGGGGCTTTTTTTTTTTCTTTTCCTGTATTAATGCATGAATGCAAATGCTGTTGTTAAGAAATAAATTGAATAAAAAATAAAGGTTTGAATGGTGGCTGCCCAGAGAAAAGCCAGTGGAGTTGGACAGGATTTTTTCCTGCTGATATAAATCTAAAAAGCCCCTCTCTAATTGTGCCATTATCATAATAACTGAATTATCAGCATCTCCAACAACAGATTTTCATGTGGGAGCAAAGCACAGCAGAAATTAAACTTCTGGGGTGAAGTGAGGCTGTTCATTTAGTTAATTTTGTTTAATTCTCATTTATCCTGCTGAAAATAAGTGCAGCTGGATTTCCAGGGCGCTCTGGAAATATCACTCCAATGGCAACATGGATTTGCTGGAGTTTTCCTCAGCAGGAACATCCTGCTGGCACAGGGCAGCTGCTGCTCCTTAGGGCCACCCTTAGGTGTCAATCCATTCTTCCGAAAGCCAGGAGAAAACCATAAAACCAGGAAAAATCCATTTTCTGGCTGAGAAATTCAGGAGTGGCTTCACAATGTGTCCTGGGCTGGAATGCTGTATCCCACCTTCCTCCAAGGAGTTGTGCACTAAGAAAAGTTGGGATAAATCCCCTGACTGATAGAAAGCAACTCTTCTGGAGCAAGCAAGTGAATATCCTTTTCCTGAGGAATATAATTTTTCTGAGGAACCAGTCCATGCCTCCCTTCCCAAAATCAGCAGATGATCCTTTATGAGATCAAAAGCCACCTTAATTCTGTGGCAGTGCCTGCTCCAAGGAGGGGCTGGAAAAGCTGGCTGTTTTTTGATCCCTGTGGGTACCTGTGTCTTGGTTTGAAAAGACGGGTGTGTGCTAAGGAAGGGAGGAGTCTCTCTTGAAATGGAAAATGTAAACCCCCACCTTCTGAATTCTTGTAATTTTGAAATTAAGGGGCTTTCAGGCAAACATATGGGAGCAGGAATAACAGTTCTTTATTAGGAAAATAAAAATACAGTAATACAAAACAGCACTGGCAGAGTCAGAGCAGGAGCTGACCCCTGTGGGTCAGGGTGGTGGCACAGTCCCATCCCATGGGGGCTCAGCCTCCTGCAGTGCCAGCTGTGCTTCTGCTGGAGCAGGGATCCTGCACAAGGGGGGAGTTTTCCTCTGGAGCTCCAGGGCTGCTGGAGATGGGCCTGGTGTTCCTCTGGGAATGCAGGGCAGGAGAAAGCTGCTCCTCTGGGAATGCAGTGGGCAAAGGCTGCTGTGCTGTTCCAGGCTCAGATTGTATCCAGGTAGGAATGCTTGGCTCCTCCCCTGGGCAGAGCATCTCCCCATGGGATGCTGGAATTTGATCAGCCCTGCAGGGACACTCAGTGGCCATGAACAGATCTCCTGGAGGGAGGATTGGCTGTGGGAGAGATAAAGAAAAACCTGCTCCACCAGGTTTTAACAGCTGGCCCATGAACAGAAGATATCCCCCTGGGAGTTATGAGGGATGAGTCATGGAGAAGATAGAAAACACTGCCCCAGCTGGTACTAGAATACATACTTTTGGTTCCATCTTGCATTGCAACCTAAGACAACCTGCAAGATGAATCAGAGCAGTGACTCCCTTGGAAACTCAGATTTTTGGTAGCTCAATGTGTGACTAAATCCAGGTTAGGTCAAGATAGATCATAGAGCAACCAGCAGTGAAAAGTGGAAATGTAATTTAGTGTTGTAGATTTAGTAACTCCTGATGCAGGAGGGTTTTTGTTGAATTAATCTCCAGTTTTCAGCCCGAATTGTGCTTTTTGTGTGTAACTGAATGTATTTGTCCTTATGCAAGTGCAGTGAGGTCACAGCCGTGCTAAATGCCTCTGTACCCCTCACTGCAATATTCACTGTTCCAGGCTTGCAATGATTTCTTTCTCAAGCCAGTCCTAAAAATCATTCCACTTAATTAAAATCAGAATATTTCAGTTAAGGAAATAAGTATTTATTAAATTAATTTGTCCAGGGAATAAAAGTTGTGGGGGAAAAAACCTTGTGTTGTGGCAAGAATTTCCTGCTAAATATAAAAGTTTTAAGATCAGAATGCCTTGAAAGAATAAATATTGCAATTATTTCTTCCCAACAAGGGCTTCATAAATGAAAAAAAGCTTCCTTCAGTTAAAAGAGGTTGTGGGTTCTGGTTTGTGGTGCAAGCTCCAGTTCCTCCAAGGCCCTGGAAGCAGTCAGGAGAGGATGAGGGATATTTGGTGTCTCCTTGGAGGCAGAGTTGAGCTTTAATGGTGGATACTGGGGGGAAGTTCCTACTTACACACACAGCCTTGAATCCCAGGAATGAAAAAATTCCTTGGGCAGGCAGGGAAAGGATTTCAGTGAGGCTGGATGTGAGAAGCTGCAGAGGGTGGGGAATACCCACAGGAGCTCTCTGGACATTCTTGCAGCTCCTGGGGTCATCCATAAACTGTGAGCCCAGCCTGCCTCCAGGCTTTGTGGGATTTCAGTCCCTTGCATGGAAAAGAAGCTCTGGGAACGGCCCCACCTCTTGTCTGCCTGGCGTGTTTGGTTTTTACCAGGTGATTTGAAATCCAGGCTGTGCTGGGGACATTGAGGGCATGGCCAGGGAAGCAGCTG